AAATCCAAGCCCATAGAAGGATCTAGAAACCCAAACCCTAACGAAGTCCTCCCTGCCTATAAAAGCATCCTCTTCTCAGTTGTTTAGCCTCAGCCCTTACTCTCTTGTGCTCTGCTCTCTACGCGGAAACCCTAATTTCATCTCTTTCTTTTCTATTCTACGCCTTCGGTTGTTGAGAGCCAGCGTAATCCATGGCGGACACTGAGACGTTTGCTTTCCAGGCTGAGATCAACCAGTTGCTCAGCTTGATTATCAACACCTTCTACAGCAACAAGGAGATCTTCCTCCGTGAGCTCATCAGCAACGCCTCTGATGTACGTATCTCCTTCTTCCTTCATTCGTTGATTCGTGAAGTCTCGTTTTAGTTTTTTCGTCCTATGAGTGTCTTGTTGAGTCAACGATTCCATGGTTCCTGCTTTTAGGGTTTATTTATTGGATGGATTGTGGGTTTTAACTGGTTTTCTTTTTTGTATTATATGCATGTCAAAGTTATGAGCTTTTCCTCCAGAAGGAATTTTTGATGCTCACGAAAAAGTAAAAGGGGAAAAAAAATAGATTATTGTATAGTAATTTAAGGTATCGGTATCGGTATCAGTATGGAGGAATGTTAGAATTAGTTTGTTGATGCTATGATCCTAAATTCCTTTTAACTTTTTAAGAATATGGATTAATCTCATATTGGTTGAAGTTGTTGACGTTGTTAGTATTGTGTGAGGATAATTCTTATCCTGATTGAGATTGTTAAATAGTAGTTGTTTTTCTTGCTTTGGTTGGAGATAAGAATTAAACCAAAGTTATTCCAAAATATTGGGAAGGATTTACTCGTACTATAATAATTAATTGATGATATGTTGCTGTCATTATCCTTTTCCATTTCAGGCATTGGACAAAATCAGATTTGAGAGCTTGACAGACAAGAGCAAGCTCGATGCCCAGCCAGAGCTCTTCATCCATATTATACCTGACAAGACCAATAACACTCTGTCTATCATTGACAGCGGTGTTGGCATGACCAAGGCTGGTAAGTTCATGTCTGGAATTTTTTTCAGTCCAATGTTTGTGTGAGTAGTATGATTATGATGTTTTCCACTGATATGTCTGCTAATTTTTTTGCTCAGATTTGGTGAACAATCTTGGTACCATTGCAAGGTCTGGAACCAAGGAATTTATGGAGGCATTGGCTGCTGGTGCTGATGTCAGCATGATTGGACAGTTTGGTGTTGGTTTCTACTCTGCTTATTTGGTAGCTGAGAAGGTTATTGTTACCACAAAGCACAATGATGATGAGCAGTATGTATGGGAATCTCAAGCTGGTGGCTCATTCACTGTCACTAGGGACAACTCTGGTGAGAACTTGGGCAGGGGTACCAAGATCACACTTTTCCTCAAGGAGGACCAGCTGGAGTACCTTGAGGAGCGCCGTCTCAAGGACCTGATCAAAAAGCACTCTGAGTTCATTAGCTACCCAATTTCTCTGTGGATTGAGAAGACCACCGAGAAGGAGATCTCAGATGATGAGGATGAGGAAGAAAAGAAGGACGAGGAAGGAAAGGTTGAGGATATTGATGAGGACAAAGAAAAGGAGAAGAAAAAGAAGAAGATCAAGGAGGTTTCTCATGAGTGGTCTTTGGTGAACAAGCAGAAGCCTATCTGGATGAGGAAGCCTGAGGAGATCACAAAGGAAGAATATGCTGCCTTCTACAAGAGCCTTACCAATGATTGGGAGGAGCATTTGGCTGTCAAGCACTTCTCTGTTGAGGGCCAGCTTGAGTTCAAGGCTATCCTTTTCGTTCCCAAGAGAGCACCCTTTGATCTCTTTGACACCAGAAAGAAGCAAAACAACATTAAGCTGTATGTCCGACGCGTCTTTATTATGGACAACTGTGAGGAGCTAATCCCTGAATTCCTTGGCTTTGTAAAAGGCATAGTTGATTCTGAGGACCTTCCTCTCAACATTTCAAGAGAAATGTTGCAGCAGAATAAGATCTTGAAGGTTATTCGTAAGAACTTGGTGAAGAAATGCATTGAGCTCTTTTTTGAGATTGCTGAGAACAAGGAAGACTACAACAAGTTCTATGAGTCATTCTCTAAGAATCTGAAGCTTGGTATCCATGAGGATTCCCAGAACAGGACTAAGATTGCTGAATTGCTCAGGTATCACTCTACCAAGAGTGGTGATGAGATGACTAGCTTGAAGGACTATGTGACCAGGATGAAGGAGGGGCAGAATGACATCTACTACATCACTGGTGAGAGCAAGAAGGCTGTTGAGAATTCTCCTTTCCTTGAGAAGTTGAAGAAGAGGGGGTATGAAGTCCTTTTCATGGTGGATGCTATTGATGAGTATGCAGTTGGTCAGCTGAAGGAGTTTGAGGGTAAGAAGCTTGTTTCTGCTACCAAGGAGGGTCTGAAACTTGATGAGAGTGAAGATGAGAAGAAAAAGAAGGAAACTTTGAAGGAGAAGTTTGAGGGTCTTTGCAAGGTGATCAAGGATGTTCTTGGCGAGAAGGTGGAGAAGGTGGTTGTTTCTGATCGTGTTGTTGACTCTCCCTGCTGTTTGGTGACGGGTGAGTATGGCTGGACTGCCAACATGGAGAGGATCATGAAGGCTCAGGCCTTGAGGGACAACAGTATGGCTGGATACATGTCAAGCAAGAAGACCATGGAGATCAACCCTGAGAACCCTATCATGGAGGAGCTGAGGAAGAGGGCTGATGCTGACAAAAATGATAAATCTGTGAAGGACCTTGTTCTGCTGCTCTTTGAGACTGCTCTACTGACTTCTGGCTTCAG